CTTCTCTGAGTTTGAATATTCTGTTTTGTAGAATGGAATTAATCATGCACTATCTTGGAGTGTTGTGAAGTGAAAACACCTGGAACCTAATAGGTCTTTGATACATGTGCCCTTTCCTTCTTTATTATAGCACAATGAAGAAATCACTTTATAAGACACTTTTTTCAAATAATGTTTTCTCCTACAATTTAGCATTTTATTATTTTTCTATCATTGATGAAACTATGTATAGAATATTACTATGTAGGAACCAGCAGATGGCATAATCGTTACGTCACTGAACTCCCATATGGTTGACCGTGGTTCGAGTCCTGGACCCGGAAGCTTATAATTCATGCTGGGTGCATGTGTGTGCATGCCCAAGACCCCAAGAGGAGAATGGACAAGAAGGGATTGAGGTGTGGCTATTCTCCCTGGGAGGCGGTGGTGGGGAGAATGATTTATCGCTTTCTATCTCTCTGGGAGTGCACATGCCTTATAGCAAAAATCTCTAAAATAAATAAATAAATAAATAAAAGAAAAGGAATATTGCCGTGTATACTAATTGCCTTGTATAAATAACTCTTTTCTGTGACTAGAATGCCAGCTCCTTGTAGATGAGGATAGTCCTCATCTCTCATTGAGCATGATGGCTGGGCCTATGGGAGTAGTTAGTGAATTCTTGTTGAAAGTCTGTTGTAGAGTTCAGATGGTTTTTATCAAGTCACGTTTCTGTCTTTTCAATCTCAGCTTAAAAGAGTGTGACTATACCTAGCACAATGCCCAACTCACAGTAAATGTTGAATTAAGTTTATTTTGCAATCCTACGTCTACAGTCTTTCCTTACAGGTATCATTTATCAATTCTTTCACCAGCTTCCTCTCTAAATTCCCTCCAAGTCTTCTTTTTTTTTGTTTCTTTCAGGTTTTTACCATAGGATGCATGTGCTTGCTAAAGACAGTAAGAGGGAGAGCGAGAAATCAACCCCTGGGGGAGGATGGCCATGTCACAATCCCTTTTTCATTTTCCTCCTGGGATTTTGGGCATGCACGCACTAGGCTCAGCATGATTTTCAAGATCTGGGACTTGAACTGCGGTTGGCCATGTGGGAGTCCAGCCCCTTAACCACCATGCCACCACCTGCAGACCCCCTTCTCCATATTTTTTTAAGTTTATTCATTTGTTTCTTCTTCTTCTTCTGAGAGAGAGAGAGAGAGAGAGACCCTTTCAACAAGATTCTCACACTGGTAATTCACCCAGAGTTTCAGTGAGCCTGGATCATGGAACATGTTTGTGCCTGGTGTGTACAGGGTAGTCTCAGGATGCTCTCACATGGGCCCATGTGCATTCTGCTGTGCCGCTACTTGGTCCCCTCCATCTTTTTTAATACATGGAACACAGATTGCAATCTCTCTCTCTCTCTCTCTTTTTTTTTTCTTCCTTTTTTTGGAGAGGTTTTTGCTACAGGCTGCGTGCGCTCACCAGACGGACAGAGAGAGACAGAGAGACAGAAAGCGAGAAATCATCCCCCAGGGAGGATGGCCATGCTGCAATCCCTTCTCCTCCATTCTCCTCTCAGGATCTTGGGCACGCACGTACATGTGCCCGGCGTGAGTTTAAGCCACCGGGTCCGGGACTCGAACCGTGGTCGACTACATGGGAGTCCAGCAACATAGCCATTACACTAACTGCTGGTCCCCCAGATTGCAATCTTTCTTATGCTGAATGTGAGGATGAAAGGGAGGGACCAGCAGAACCTCAATTCCCACCTTTGTCCTTGCCCTACTCCCCCTTCCTATGCCTGAGGCATAGGATATTATCCTTAGCTGTGTGGTGACAGCCAGATTCAGCCCCTGTAGAGAATCACCCTGAATCCACAGCTCAAATGACATTTTCCTTACTTTTGTCAGAGTCCTGGCTTCAGCCTGGGAGGGAACCAGGTAAAGAACAAACCAAATTCTTAAGTCCTTACCAGAGCAGCTTAGTCTTGGGTCATCAAAATATACTCTCCCTCTTGTGGCTGGTAGGTGGTATGATGGTTAATGCACGAGACTCCCACATGGCTCACTGCAATCTGAGCCCCAGACCTGGTGGCTTGAAAATCATGCCAGGCATGTGTGCGTGTGTGCCCAAGATCTCAGGAGAATGGAGGAGAAGGGATTATAGCATGGCTATCCTCCTTGAGGGATGATTTCTCTCTTTCTCTCTCTCACTGTGTCTCTCTGGCAAGCACACATCCCCTTAAAAAACAAAACAAAATCATCCTCTGTTTGAGGTGCCATGTGGAGCTGGCTGACTTTGTTGACTTGAGCTGAACCTAGACAGAGACCTCAGCTTCTCCTAGCCTTGACACAGGCTCCCTACATCAGCTTTAGTAACCTATCCAGTTTCTTCACTGCTTTCTTCTTCTGCCTGCCTCTCTCCAGGATTGTGGGTGTGCCTACACCTAGACAGTTCTTCCTTTCTGGCATTTGGAGAAAAATGGTATTTCCCCTTATCCACAGCCCTGCTGTGAGACCTGCTCTTCTTTGTCAGCCATGAGCCTTCCCCTTTCATACCATCCCCTAACTGTCCTGTAACTGTCCTCTCTTGACTAGAGATAATAAGGTGTTTCCAGATGCTCCCAGATTTTGTGCGGTGGCTGGGATGTAGGGACAAAGTCACAGTATGAGGACAGTCTTTGTTTTAGAGAGGGAACTGGGTATCACCAGGGCTATCCATTGGTTTCATATGCTTAGTTCTATTCCGGGACTTTGGTCCAGCCATTGTACATTCAGGCAGGAGTGACTAGGTTTGGTATTGTGCTGCATTGTATTGTGTTGTAGTACATTGCACTATCGTATTGTATTGTATTGTATTGTGTTTTGCAGCCACATCCACAGCACTTCCATATACCAGACAGTGTTCAAGCGCTTTACTCACACTCATTAGTCCTCATGTCAACCCCATGAAGTAGACATTATTTTTATCCCAAATATACAGTTGAGAAAACTGAACTACACAAAAGGGAGTTAACTTGCCCAATGTCATACAGCTAACAGGTGGCAGAACCCACGATCCAAACCCAGACAAGATGGCCCCAGAATCTGTTCTGATGCTATGTAGGAAAAAGTGGGGAAACGCTGAGGAATTAAGAATCCTGTGTTTGTTTCATGAGAACTATCACCTCCTTCAACACAGGAGGTGATACATGCCATGTCCTTTCCCCTCTTGCTGATTTTAAGCTTATTCATCTATGAAAAATAGAGCCATTAAGGAAACAAGCAGTTTTGGGGCCAGCAGGTGGTGTGGTGTTAAGGCGCTGGACTCCTACATGACCGACCATGGTTCGAATCCTGGAGCTGGCAGCTTGCTTTCTTGTGCTTTCTCTGTCTCTCTTTGGTGAGCACATGTCCTATAGCAAGTTAAATAATAATAATAATACAAAATAAAATTAAATAATTAATTCCTTTAAAAAAAAGAAGCAGCAGCAGGAAGCAGTTTGCGGGCTAGCAGGTGGCATAGTGATTAAGGTGCTGGACTCTAACATCGCTAACTGTGGTTTGAATCCTGGATCTGGTGGCTTGAATATCATGCCAGATATGTGTGCATGTGTGCCCAAATTCCCAGGAGGAGAATGGATTGCAGCATGGCCATTCCCCTCTGGGGAGGATAGGTGATTTTTCACTCCCTTCCACTGTCTCTTCCCGGTGAGTGCAAATGCCCTTTGTCAAGTCCCTTAAAAAGGAGAAAGAAAGAAAGAAAAAGAAAGAAAGAAAGAAAGAAAATGAAAGAAGCTTGTACCCCGAAAGAGAAGCAGTTTTTGGGATGTTTGTGGCTGGCACTATCTGGGAAGGGCATTTGCGGGTGATGTTGTGGAAAAAAGGGATGCATCTGCATCCTGGCCCTGCCACTGCCACCCACTACTGAGTGACATGGACAAGTGGCCTTCTCCCGGGGCCTCAGTGGATATTCCAGATGGTCTCTGAAGATTTCTTCCAGCTCTCATGACCTGTGGGAGACGACTGGTTTGTCTGTCTTGGGTCCATTCCTAGTAGCTCTGTTGTGAGGAGGTTTGAGAAGTGAGGTGCCCCACAGTTTCTGCATTTGCTTAGCTGTGACATAGGATCTAACTAGAGAGGACCTTATTTTCTTCCGTTCAGTTCCAGCTGGAAGGATCATATGCTCTCGTGGAAAGAGGGAAGAGGTGAATTTTGGCCTTCACTAAACCCTCTAATCCTGATTCCGCCACTTACTAAGTGGGTCACCATAACCATGTTACTTGATTTCTCCAGACTTCCAATTCCTCAAAGTGAAATGCAGAAAACCTTGTAGAATTGGAAAGTGGCATGATTAAGTGAAATAAAAGTAGGTCATATATGTATGAAGCCCAGTGCCTGGCATGTAGAAAGTGCCTCTTCTCCTCAGAAAAGAAGAGGGAGAGAAGACAATCCTGGGTGTGGGGAAATGCCCTTTCCCTGAACCTCCAGGCGGAGGGTTCAGCATATTTGCTTGTACCCCTGGTACCTACTCTGGGTGCTCAATGGTTCTAATTTGTGAGGCCATGTTCTTCTGTGCAGGCCAGAGCTCAGCTCACTGTGGAGGTGTAGCAGAGGTCCCAAAAAGATGTGCTCTGTGAATGTACACCCTCCTTTTCTGATGACAGGAGCGGGATGAGGAAGAGGGCTCTCCTAGGCAGTGCCGATTTTCCTACTGGTGCCCCGGGAAAGGCAGGGCCTGAGGAGGCTGAGGAGGCTGAGCAGAGGGGTGGGCAGGAAAAGCCCTGGGGCGCCAGAGCACCAGCCAGTGTGGGGAGAGGACACACGGTCAAGGACTGTGACAGCCACAGCGGGAGGGCTGAGGAGAGCAGGGCGAGGACAGGCTGCAAGAAGACTTTTTAAGAGAGAGCGAAGATTCTAAGAGGGCACAAGAGAGCGAAGGGAGGGAGGGAGGGAGGGATCCAGAAAGGGAAGGGGGTGGAGAAAGAGTAGGAAGAAGTGGGAGGAGGGAGGGCGACAGATATGATTCAAAAGAGGGTGGGAGAGGAACAACTGACAGGCTCAAGAGCAAAGACTGGTGGGCAGTTGGAGAAGAGGCAGCCAGAACTGCAAGGAGCAGAGGAATTCCAGGAAGGTGAAGCGGCAGGTAAGAAGAGAATTGACTTTCCAGAGAGAAAAATGCAAGTCAGTTGGAAGTAGGCAGAGGAGAGAGACTTTAATTCCAGGCTGGATTTTAAAAAGGCTCTTTTTCTATACCTGAGTTTATTTCTGACCCCTGGCACTATTTCCTGGGACAGTGAGTTTGGCTCTGTTGAGAGAGGTTTAGCGAAGCAACAAACTACTCACTTGATTTACAAGGAGCTGTAAATGGGAGCGGAGGACCCTTAGGGTGCCGGTCTACCTCATGTGGAGTTGCCTGGCTCTTGGGGTGTCTTAGAAGTGGATATCAGTCCATTTCTAAGAACTTTTGTTTAAGAGGGGATTGGCCCTTTAAAAGCAAAACCAACGCGTTTTACGATGTTTTCTCTAGGCATGGAATCTTTTTTGAAATGCACTTTGCAACATCCAGGGGAGTGTTTTGATTTTTTTTTTTCTCCCCAAGGCATGTTGGATGGTTTAAAAATATTCCCTGCTTAGTTTCCTGCAGAGTGTCAGGTCCCTGCTGAGCAGTAGCTGGTGGCCACGTGTGAGAAATAGACACTGCAGTCAGGAAACAGACAAGTGGGACCCCGGAGAGGACACCTGGGACGGGCCCCCACAGGCCTCTTTTCCCTGAGCCAAAGTATAGGCAGAAGATGGCAGGATAGGGTCCGCAAGGCCTTTCTTAGAAGAAAGTTCAAGGTCACATGTGGGGAAAGAGCCCAGATTCCGAAGCTGGGAGGCCTAGGTTTTGGCCCTCCAGAGTAGCTGTGTGACCTTGGACTGGACACTTACCACTTCTGGACTTCATTTTCCTCAGTTGTAAAGGGAGGGAGTGGGAGCATTACTAGAAGGGTCCCTCTAGGTCACGTCAAGCAGTGACACAACACGAGGCTGTGATATCATAGGTGCAAACACATCTCCGAGCCCCTGAAAAAGAGATGCTCAACCCAGGGATTTCACATCCTTACTGTTTCCTTTTCTGGCTTTTCTTTTATTCCCCCCTCACAGTATCCCATCATAATAAAGGGATTCCAGGTTCAGCTGTTTCCCAAACTAGACTCTGGTGCCCTGGAGTCCGTCCGACTGGCCTGAGAACAGGAGGGCCAGCGTGGAGAGCACCGGGCAGGGTGACAGGAGGCCTGAAATCCAGCAAAACTGAACAGAGAAGACTAGGGAGTGTGTGGTGGCGCAGTGCATCCCTTGCCTGGTGGTGCTCTTCATGACTGGGGACACAGCTGTATTTAGAAGCACACCAGCCTGAGCTCCACATCGGCAGCCCGGGGCTCCATCTTCTTCACCTAGTGCCCCAGAGCCACGGCCCAGCCTGGACCCTGATTCACTGCTCTCTAGGGACAGCTCTGAACTTCCTGCCTTCCTGCCAGTTCCCAGCAGGGCAGTGTAGTGTTTGCTCCCCTGGCTGTCCTTCCTCACCCCTCCCCACCACCCCAAGACATTTCCTTACTCAGTAGCTGCCACAGACGCTCCCAATGACCCCAGCATGTGGAACAGAGAGCACCAGCAGGGCACTGTCTGCCTTTCAACCTGGCACCCCTTGAGCATCCCCTCACCCAGACATGTGAGTGATGTTCACAGGCCATGGCAGTCATGGCTCAGGTTGCCCTGCCTGGACACTGTCTTGGCACCCTAGAAGTGGCCTTACTGGGCTTTCACAACTGGTCATTGCTCTTCTCTCTCAACTGCCTCACTCCTGCCCCCACTCCTGTTACTAGGCCTAAAGTCCTAAGGTGTTAGGACTGGGAGAGGTCTCTTAGACTGCCAAGCTCCTCTTTTGACAAATGAGAACAAGGCCTAGAAAAGGGAAATGACTTGATAGAAATGACAGTGAATTTGGACCAATCGAGTTCCTTTTTGGCTGAACAGGTTGCCTTACTCCGTTCTCTTGTACCTAGGGCTCTTCTGCCCTCCTTCCTAGGTTGTGTTTTCCCAGCCTCTATCTCTCCCTGATTCTTTCATGTGCGCATCTTCACAATTCTGTTTTATGTTGAAAAAGTGTATCTTATTCATGAGAGAGCATGTTTATGTGCACGGATAGAAAAACAAACAGGTAGATACCTTTGATAGGATCTCATCACTTCATGCTCCCCTTTCCCCAGCCCTCAAGCTTATCAGGATCTTGAGAGCATGTACACCCAGCATGTTTCCAGGCCAATGGGGGATCTGAACCTGTGGTCAGTCATGTGGCTTCCAGCACTACAATTCAGGATGCTACTCACTGTGCCCCGGAGGCTGGGCCTGTACATTTCTATTTTCTGGCAATGATACCTACTGCCCATCTGCTCCTCAACGTCTCTACAGGCTGGTCGGGACACAAGCTGTCCTGTGCTGTGTGCTGCCTGGCATCCAAGGTACTGGTGATCCCACCTCTGGGCCCAACCAATCAGAACAGGACAGGGCATGTGTCTATGTGGGTCTAGGACAGGACTAAAAGTCCTCAGGGCCAGGGAACCAGCAGTTAGTGTAATGGCTATGTCACTGGACTCTCACGTAGTCGACTGCGGTTCGTGTCCCGGACCCGGTGGCTTAAAACTCACGCCAGGCGCATGTGCGTGCGTGCCCAAGATCCTAAAAGGAGAATGGAGGAGAAGGGATTGCGGCGTGACCATCCCCCCTGGGGGGTGATTTCTCGCTTTCTGTCTCTATGTCTCTCTCTGTCTGTCTGGCGACCACACACGCCCTATAGCAAAAATCTCTCCAAAAAAAAAAAAAAGTCCTCAGGGCCAGAGAGATCCAAATCTGTGCCCTGTCCCAGGCAAGAATTCTACCCACTGGGCCCAGCAGCTCTCTATGTGAATTGACTCCCATAAGTCCCCACCCTGGGATCAAGGGCTGAGCTAGCCAAAGGGATGAGAAATGCCCATTTTCATGGAAAGTTTCAACATTCCTGGCAAAGCTGACTTCCTGTCTATGGTTAGAAGTTGCTGGTTCCTGGTGGATGACAGCTTTGATGGCACTTGGTGAATTAATTGTTTCTGACATATTAGTAAATACTGGCAAGAAAAATTCAGCATTCAGCAATCCATTCACTTTCATAAAGAAAGGGAGTTAGGAGGTCTCAGAATCAGAGCTATCAAAATGGCTCAGAGGGACCTAATTCAGAGATAGGACAGAAGGAAGAGCCTGGGCATTTGGGGTCAATCTGGGTTAGCCACGGCTGTGTAACCATAGGCAAATTATTCAATGTCTCAGATCCTGAGTTTCTTCATCTGCCAAAGAGGTTAATAAAGAGCTTCCTTGTAATTTTTTTTCCCCCTAATTGCCAGAGGACACATGTGCTCACCAGAGAAAGAGAGAGAGGAAAAGAGAGAAAAAGTGCTCTCCAAAGGGGCATGGTCACACAACAATTTGTTCTCCTCAATTTCTCCCTCCAATTTCTCCATTTGGGGTATGCATGCATATGTGTCTGATGTGTTTTTCAAGCGTCGGGGCTGAGACTTGAAGTGAGGTCAGCCATGTGGGGTCTAGCTCCCTGAATCAGTAGGGTATGAGGCTGGCCTGATTTTTTGAGGATCAATAAAAGTATTTAAAATGGCTGTCACCCAGTAGGTGCTCAACAAACATTAGAACAATATGGTAGACTTCAAGTTACTTGGTCCTCAGTCCAAGTCCCTTTGAATTGCATCTCATTTGATGCAAAAACCTTTCTACAACTAAGGCTTAACATGATTTCATTCCGAGAAGGTTTGGCTCGACTTTTATGACCACAGAGATTTTCCTGGGACTATGTTTGCTGACCTATAAGCTGAGTGTCAGAAAACATGGATTTATTTCCTGGCGTTAGCACTGACTTGCCATGCCATCACAATTGGGGGAGTTACAAACTCCCCGGATGTTCTAACTAGAGGTGGAAGGGCCCTAGCAACCATTCAGCTCACATCTTTTGTTTTACACAGGAGTGAACTGAGGTTTACGGAGGGTCACAAAGAAACAACTGGAACCAGAAGGGGCCTCTCTTAGGAAATGATAATATTGTATTTTAATAGGGGGCTTTGAGATTCTTCTATCAACCTAGAAACTCCGTGGTTCAGAACTCCAGGAGAGGGGAGAAGTAGCTGGGGTCAAGATGTCCCTTTCCCTTAGATCATAGAGCAGACATCCCCTCTTTCTTTTCCAGGTAGAACTGAACCTTTGTCAAACTCCCCTTGGTAGGTGTGTCTTCCGCTTAGGGATCAGATTCTAAAGTGCTGCAGCTTCTCGAAAGGAAGGAATCCCATGAAACATGGGTTTTATAACATGAACTCGCATGGGGTCCCTCTCCAGACCCTAAAGCTTGAGTTAAAGATGCTCTAAAGGCATGCCGAACCAGCCACAGGAATGAGAGGGGCCTGACCTGAGCAGGCTCTGCAGTTCCCTGATTTCCCAGCCCTACCCCGGAGGGTCTTGTTGCCTAATTAAATGACTGACAGAGTCATTTAATGTTCTGCCCATTGCCCACGTTGTCTTCATTTCTCATAGACACCCTCGGCACCCAGGGCCCCGTGGGAGTCCTTGCTGTGTCACTAACCAGCCTGCTGCATTATCAAATTCTGCATCGAGTTGCATCAGGTTTGAGAGGAGTTTTTACTAGAAATGTTGGAAAAGAACACAGGGACTAATATTATTGAGTGCCTCCCATGGGCTGGGTGCTGCTCTACGTGCTTTGATGTACCCACTTACTCTTTTTCTTTTTTTCTTAAATTATTTCTTTATTTAATTTGTTATTATTTATTTATTTATTTATTTGACCAAAGAGACAGAGAGAGAGAAGGGGAAAGTGAGAAAGTAAGCCACCAGGTCTGGGACACGAACTGATGTCAGCCATGTGGAAGTCTAGCACCTTAACCACCACATCACCTGCCAGCCCCACCACTTACTCTTTAATCCCCATGAGTGAACATTCCTATTTTTTCTTTTTATTACTTATTTATTTATTTGTTATTTAAATTTGACCAGAGAGGGATAGAATGAGGGGGGAGGAAATGAGAAAACAAGCCGCCAGGTCCGGGA